AATTTTACTTTTTTATTATTTTTAAGTTAAAGAAAGATAAAACTTACTGAACATAAAACTTATAGGATAATGGCAATTAGTCAACAGAATTTTTTAGCCCTATCAGAACACCCCAGGTCATATCAACATGAATAAACCCCGGTAAGCTTATCGTTTTATGATGAGGTATGAAACATTGAGACCGTTATCTTGATGGGGTACCAAATATTTTCCAACAATTTTGTGGGGGTATGAAATTGTTTTCACAAAATTAAAAATATCCTCCGCCCCGGGGTAGCACTTACTTTATGACCACTCCCTTATACGTCCAAGGTTGCTTTTGGCTGGATTGATAAGTCTACATTTTGGTTTGTTACAGAAGTTCTCTTTGTGATCATTCATTGATATGAATGCGTCCGTGTTCGTCTTCGTTTCGATTTTGTTCGCTATGCCAAGTTTCGTTGTAATATCTCTCAATTCGTGATTAATATCAGTGACTGATCCTTCATCTGCCGTTCTATATGAACTTGTGATGTTTTCTTTTAATAATTTACAGTACTTGTCCTTATTCATCTCGTAAATGTTTCGTGACTTGTCGGCGAATGCAAATACTTTGTCTGAATCATTAATTCTAGTGATGTCGTTGTTTGACTTTGATTGAAAAGGTGTTGATACTTTGCGAAATTTTATATTCTCCACAAGGTTGAACATGTCGTTTACGAAGGGTTCAAGTTGAGGAACCACTTGTGGGAATTTTCTCGTCTTTAAGTGGAATGGGTGTTCTCTGTGCTGCGATGTTGTGTTCAAGAAAAAGTGTGCTTTCCAACGCATTCTTTTTAGGAAACTTTCGGTCAAACTTAAAAGTCTTGATTTATACATATGCTTCGACGGTATTGGAATGTTCTTCAACGAATAATCAAACTGGATATTCTCCATTCTTGTTGCTTCGCGAACTTTTAGAGTGCTTGACCTCACGGGAGCTATTTAATACAAGATGGGCAAGTTAAGTTCTTTTACTCGAGTTTCACGCCTATATTGTCGATCATCGACTGTCTGTCCGAATTAAAACGTCCTTATTTATACCTATTTTAAACTATATAAAATTAGCATAAACTAGCATAAAACTTGTTTTCATGCCGACATTTTGATATTAATTCTGATCGTTTGTTTAGAAGAGCTCCCTTGTGAGCGTTTAGAATTGCCATTTTTTCTGCCAGGCACAGTTTACAAACTCTTGTTCCGCTTGCATACGTTTTAGCCTGCTTCAAAATTGACCATTTAATTTCATAATCCCTTTTCGTTTTCTTCAGGTCCCAAATGAATTTCGATAGCGCTGTTTTGTTTGCATATTTGCGCATTATGGGCGATCGCCCATGCCATACAATATTAAATGGACAATCTTAAAACATTCGAGTGCATACAGAGCGGGACGTAATCAGTACAATTTGTGTAGCGCGAAAAACTTTTCATCATGAAATTTAAAAAGAACTCGCTGCTCAACAAAAGAAGTGAAATATTCTCGAACTGCGTCCATCAAAAACAATTTCTGGCGGGAAAATACATTCGCGTGCAATCGAACAACGTGTGCAATCATGCACGCGCAAGCAAACCAAACCAAACCGTCAAATTTAGTTGACAGGGGCCGGTTGTATAAAAACGTAATTAGCGCTAACTGTAGTTAGCGTTAATCACTGTAGTTAAATCCTTAACTGTAATTAGTTAACTACATGACTTAACTGCGTTGCACAAAACGTAGTTAGTCGAATAGTTAACTAATCACGTAGTTAACTGTGCGTGGGGCTTGCGTGGGGCGTTTAAACACAAAATTACATAAAGTAAGCAGGGAGTAACAACCGCTGACACACATTTTCAACATGATTGTGGACTCGTATTTTGCAAATAGGCGGGAATTTTATTCAAAACACTAGAAAACAGTGAAAAATAAACAAGAAAACAAGGAAAAACCGCCACAAAAATCATAAAAGAATGCAGTTTTTCCTTGAGATGTCTACGTTAAACCAAGGTATAGCTGTTTGGCAATTATATATCAGTGTTTCTTGGTGTAATGGACCATACTTGGTCTTCGAGAAATCGTCCTGTGCAAAAATATGTTCTGTTTTCGTAAAAACACCAAAGCGATAGCGTTTGAAGAGTTTATATTGTCAGGAAACTTTCACAGGGAAGATAGCGATTGAAAAGCTCAGGTAAGCGTTGCTTTTCATTATTGTTTTACTGAAAAATGTTGTTCATGCCTATACAAACGCCATTTTTAACTACGTTTTGGACAGTTAACTGTACCCTTCGGCATAGTTAACTTTAACTACTTTTTAACTGCAGTTAAGGCTAACTACACTATTATACAACCGGCTTAACTACGTGATTAACTATTTTTAAGGCTTTTTAACTACTTTTTAACTGCAGTTAGCGCTAACTACGTTTTTATACAACCGGCCCCAGAACTTTAGTTGTCCGAAAATTGTCTGTAAACTCAGGCATATATATGTTACGAGGCTTTATTTAGGTAGTAAATCGTTGCATCAATTTTAGATAACTAACAGTTCTTAAATGTTCAATACTGTTCGTTCCTTCGTGTTCAGGCAGGTTCTTCTTGTAGTAGTTTTTTTAAGTTCACTTCAGCCTTGAGCAGGTTTTCACCATTCGTGATATGTTCGTTAATTTCTTCGTCGTTCGTTTGTTTCGTTTGAGTTTCTGCAGCTTTTCATCAGTTAAGTTTTATTTAACATACGTCCACTGACGACTTTCACTGTGCACGCCAGCTTTTCATCAGTTAAGTTTTATTCAGCATACGTCCACGGACGATTTTCACTGTGCACGCTCTTTTATACTAACGGTTGAGGGAATCCTTGTACACGTGTTCTAACAAGTGGTGTGATCGGTATCCAGCGAATCAACGTTGAGTTTTAAAAGTGTAGGTTGGCGTTGTTAGCTCGTTCCAGCTCTCACATTCTGTTTATTTAAGGCGTTGTCACACTTGTCGAGTCGGTTCGCTGTTAAATCGATCAATGCCAAAACAGGTTCACAACTTTAAATACTTATGCAGGTCTTATAGTAAAAACTTCGAACTATACCTATGTGAACATAACTTTACCTACAAGACTAAATTTACTTCTAATTTTATTGAACTAAGATTCTGATGACGTAATATTTTAATTGCATGACCGAGTGTTATCTAGCTTGGGATGACTCATTATTACGCCTGAGTCTGTCCACGTGAAAGGTCAATGTTCATGAGACCTCATGGCAGCTGCTCTGTTTAAACAGATCTGCCCACAAGATAAACTGTAGGAATCAGGTCAATTAAACATGACATCTTCATATGCACAATGACAGCTAGTTCAACAAACTGTCACAGTCTAATGGAAGGAAATAATCAATATTTACTTTATTTTGACATGTGCCCAAATATCCATTATCTCCCCTCATTAGGCTTTTAGTAATATTCACTTGCACGAGCATTTAAGCTGCTCTTAAGCAAACATCTTTGTGTTATTTTATTTTTAGCCTAAAATTTTATGTATAAGTAATACTATTTCGTAATATATATATATATATATATATATATATATATATATATATATATATATATATATATATATATATATATATATCATTCAGCGTATATGAGCTGTTCTGCAATCTGATTGGTTGAATTACTCGCCGTATATCAGCTCATATAAGGCGAGTAGCGAAAAACAAGATGGCGGTCCAAAAACTACATGAGTTTTGCGAAGCAGAAAAAAGGAAAATATTCGCTTTGAGAAAGATAATAGTACAAGGAAAAACTCTCAAAAAAATTTGACAGGTTAGCAAAATACATTTATTACATAGAAATTAGTTTAAATACAAGTTTTTTTAAAGAATTAATACCGAAACAACAGCGAAAAAGACATGTTGATTGAGAATATAAATTGTTCAGAAAAGTTTGCAACGAATGACAAATGAATTTGCAGTCAACAAGCACTTACTATACTACCAAACATCTGTGTATATATATCTGAGCTTTTCTGCGAGATATACCGGTTCTAAAACCATTTCTTTCACTTCGTCTTCGAGTTGTAAAACAAAAATATTTTAAACTAAGGACAAGCGGGTTTTGGCCGAACAAATTGTCAAGACATTGTAATAGAGGATTATTGCTTCAGTTAATGGCTATTAGACTATATTATAAAACAATTATACCATTCGCTCTCGTCGTATATTGCTGATAGCCGACTCGGTGCTACGCTCCTCGTCGGCTATCAGCTCATATACGACTCGAGCTCATTTTATAATTGTTAAATACGAGTGTCTGGTGCATATATATATATATATATATATATATATATATATATATATATATATATATATATATATATATATATATATATATATATATATATATAATATATATAAATGCCAATATATATAATATTATATGGCAATATATAGTATTATACTGTATGTAATTTAATTTAAAATGAACATGCGTCCACATGCCTGCAGGCACAGATTTTCTGGGGGGGGGAGAGATGCACACCCCCCAGAAATTATTTGCACCCCCAGAAATTATTTGCACCCCCCAGAGGCATTTGGCACCGCCCCCAAAAGTTTTTGCACCCCCGCAAATTCTATATATTTTGATTTGATAGTTTCATATTTGATTATTCCTACTATTAAATTTGTAAAATTACCAATATTATGGTCTCGTATCTTGCCATGCAGGCCTAGAAAACAAATTTTGTTAAACTTTTTCCTTGGCCTTTCCGGGTGTTGCCACCAGGCCCTGGCCAAAGCAAGCAGCAGCACCCCCCCCCCCTCCCCCCAGATATTTATCCACCCCCACCCCCGAATGAAAATATGAAAATCCGTCTCTGCATGCCTGTGGAGATAAACTATAGGCTTATTAAAGTTCAACCTCTTGGAAAGAAAATTAGTGTTTTTATTTTGTTAATTAATGAATAGTTTTATAATTTGAACAGGTAGATTTTGGTGAGCCAGTGGTAACATGTTTCATTTGTGGTATGGTGATTGGAATGTGCAAATTAAAAGATCACCAGAAAAGCCATACTAGTGAGTCACCTCCAAGACAAAAGGTACAATATGTCATTGTGCATGTGTGTTTTGGGAATGTGTATTTGGGTTTTCCATTCTTAATTAATTACTTTACATTCTGCATTTTCTAGAGAAAGAGGCATGATCTTGTAAACCCCTTTCTCAGGTACAGGTAATTTGTGTATTTGACTATTGGTAAACCTGGAACCAATATTTTATATTGTGAGTGGAACTTATATTACTAATCATAAAACTATCCCTGGAATCCTTATGGAAGGTGGCATTCTGGGACAAGCAGACAAGTGAACCTGCATGCATTTACCTCAATGCATTTTAGTTGCCATCCATTTTTGTATGCATGGGGTAATTATATACATTTTGGTTTGCCATGCTCAAGGCAACCATTTCAGTCATAATAAGCTTGTTACCATCATATCAAGATAATCAAAATGAATAGATGGAGAGTTGCTACTTTCCACAAATGAATTACTTGTAGACTATTAAATGTCAGAGCTATATATATAGCAGCTGTGAAGAAATTATGAATAAGATTTTTTACTTCAGATAATGGTGCTGGCTGCTGCTTTTCCAAAATTGGTAGCTGTTTATACCATAACATGGTTATTCTAACCATATTACGTTTTCCCATTTTATACAGTGATTCTGAGACTGAAAATGATAGAGAGGGAGATGAGAATCTTAAAACTGACAACAGTGAATCGGATACTAAAAATGATGTGGAAAACATTCTAAATGATGTTTGTCCTGATGCAAGTACGTCAGAAATAAAAGTTGCTTTACAAGAATGCAATGAGGATGTCAACGCAGCTGCCCAACAACTTTTAGGTATGACAGATTAGAGTATTTACTGTATAAATTAACGTGAAATCGAAATGTTCAGCTGCATTAGTTTGTGTCAAGCTAAAGAATTTTAAGGATCTAGTCATTGGTATAGTATGCATGATACTATATGCTAATGATGTTAATGAACCACAGTGATATCACACTGTAATCTTCCTGCATCATGAGGTGGATAGGTTGCACTGCAAATATTTAAGGATCCTGTGAGAAAATGAAAAATTATCTGGCTCAAAATGGAGTTGAATAACCATATTATAAGTTACTTACATGTTGCTTTGTCTGACTATGTCTTAGTTAGCCAATCCACATATGAAATTTATAAGTGTCAATTAATGCAGTGCGTGATTTGTTCAAAGATTCTAACTACAAAATAAAGACAGATACAGCTGCCGTTCTGCATGGCAAATTTGCCCTTTTCAATTTTCATCAGTTCTGGATAGAATCAATTTCCAATGAACCCTTGGAGGTTGAGAATGCTATGAGACACTTAAGTTGCAGTAATCACGGACTACAGTATTGTCAAGACAATGAGCATTCCATCAGAAGTTTTAAATGATGACTAAAATAGTAGTGAAAACGTATGATTATAAATTTGATTTAAATATATAAGTTTTTCTCAGTTTCCATTATCTTTTAAGTTTAGTTAGATACTATCCTTCAACTTTCAAACATTCTGTATATAACACTTTAGGAATTCCCTTAATTGTTATTGGTGATGGAGAAAACAGACCAGAGTCTTCCGCATCATCAAATATAGATACATGTAATCCAATTTTCCTGTCGGATTTAACCCCAGAAGCTGCTGTACTTGAATTTCAAAAACAAAAAATTGATGAAGATCTTCCTAAACAACGATTTACTGTGTGCCGTGTTGATGGTAAAAGCGAATTAAGGAGAGACATAATTAGTATTTACAAAAAACCTGATTTGAAGCTATGCGCAGTTCCAAGAGTAAGGTTTGAGGAAGAGGATGGCGTTGGCAGCGGACCTGTGAGAGAATTCTTGGTTCTTGCCATGGAAGTTGTGGATGAAGGGATTCCCTCTGGCTCAGGACGATCCAAACCTTTGATATTCTTTGAAGGACAACCTGATCACCGATTGCCTATTCATGATCAATCACTTCGATTAACAGGAACTTTTAAGGCGTTGGGTCGTATAATTGGTCACAGTATCCTGCACGGTGGTCCTGGAATACATGGTTTGTCACCTGCTGTTAAACACGTTTTAACATCTGACAGTGAGACCTACCAACCTCCTCCAATTGTCCCTGAAGACATAGTAGATATTGATTTACGCCAGATGATAGTACATCATGTGAGTATAATTAATTGTAAAACATTGTCATTGGGGGAGCAAAATACTTGTTGCCTCATTTGAGTGCAATAACTCTCGTCTGTACATGTAATCACTAGCTCATTCTCCTTTTCCCCCTCTTGTCATTTCAGTTGAATGTAACATCAACCAAAGAATCCCAAACCCTTGTCACAGCTTCGGAGAAAGAGGAATTATTGCAATATTTTTTGGAAGCTGGCATCGATCCAGATACGTTTCCGACTAACCGTGAATTGGTAATCCAAGAACTAATGATGTTTCATGTTATTGACAAAAGAAGACTTCAATTAAATGATATTGCAAAAGGTATATACTGTATAACGATCATACATAACATGTGAAACTTTAATTTACCCTTGTTAGTATTTTTTATAACAGTCATTTTGATATGTGATTATTTTTTCTGTGTTGGTGTTATGTACAGTACTCAGGTGAATATGATGCTTGTGAACTTACTCTGAGTGTATATCCACACTGGGCAAGCTTTAAAAATATGCCTTGCCACGGTGAGAATCGAACCTACAACGTTTGGAATACTATCCCAATGCTCTGCCGAGCTACGCGGCCTCGGGAACTAGACTCGGTTCCCACCGAAATATCACATACTCAAACCGACCTGACTGCATAGCTCAGTTGGCAGAGCATTGGGCTAGTATTCCAAAGATCGTAGGTTCGATTCCCACCGTGGCCAGGCATATTTTTCAAACATTGCCTGGTGTGGGTATACACTCAGAGTAATTTCACAAGCATCATGTGATGTATATTTCAGAATTAACCACTACTGGCGAAATTAGATGTTAATACCAAAGTTCACTAGAATGACATTATTATCCGTGTGATATTTTTTGCATTTCTTGTCAGTAACTTGGTGAATCATATTGTACAAATTATTTCAATTACTACAGGAATGGATGAAGTTTCCCTGACCACATTTCTCATAAAATGCTCTTCCTTATCCAAGTTGGTGTTTCCTGAAGAAAATGAAAGGATAATTAAAGCTAAAGAAGTGATCAACTGTTTGCTTTTTCAAGAAAGAGAAGAAAGTGAAGCCAACCAATTAGCAGCAGATTTCTTTCTTCGTTATATAGAGGAAATTGAAAAAAAGCAAGAAGGTACTGTAATTAGAGGCAGACCATTAGAAAAGGGTTTTTTATTACTTATGTCAATAATTGTCCTATGGCTTACTTATGTCAATATTTTTTTAAAATATATCCCTTGCATTATTTTTTTATTTCAATTTACCCTATTGCAAAGTATATGCACAAATGTTTTTTCAAACTTTATTTGTGTACGATTTCTTTTCTTTGTGTTTCCCCTGCACGATTGCCCCCCCCCCCACATCACTTTTCTAATGGTCCGCCCCTAACGTTTATTTGACTAGCAGTCAGTCACTAAAAAATCCAACAATGAGAATAACTTAGAACTGTTATCATAACTTGCTTGGACACAACTTTCAAATTTTACTGTAGACGGCGCTGGTCTGGTTGATCTGATCCATTTCTGGACTGCGTGCAACTGCCTCCAACACAAGGCAAGATCTCTTTTGGTAAAGTTTGATGGGAACAACATTGTCTTACCTTTATCTGAGACCTGCTTCAAGACCATTGTACTTCCAACTAAGCATTCATCATTTGAGTCCTTCAAGAATAGCATGGACATGGCTTTAAAATTCGGTGCACACGGATTTGTCTTTAACTAAGTCTTACACATTGTAGAAAGAACTTATTGTTGATGTTGTTTTGAAAAATTCTGTTCACTGTTACAGGTATTTAATTTATTTAATTACCAATAACTGTGTTGTGTTTGTATATGGAGAGCCTAAAATATAAAGGTTCAAATTTGAGTTCCACCACAGCTAAGCCATCATATGCATACTGAGCCAGCGACAGTTAATTGCTAGCGGTAGTCAAGTCTGAACTCCTTAACGGTCAACGGGCAAACATTGAACGAATTCTGAACAGATTACAGTTTTTCTGGACACATAAGTTTACTAGCTTTACTATGCAAATTCCGCTTAAAACACTATATAGAGATTATAATACTGCAAAAATTAAAAAGCATAATTTAATACAGAATACTTAGTGCAATAACTGCAGGGTTAACAAATGAACAGATCGAAGACAAATTAATTAAACTTCATTTTCTACACATTTTGGGATTTTGACCGTTATAACGTTATTGCAGGCTCTCTTAAAAAGTAACAGTATACACTCTGTAAATATTGTGTTTCGTTGGGGCATTAAAATTACTCTTCAATAAAAATTCAGTGTGGTTCAATGTGCTAACTGAAGAATAGTGCGAAATGTCTCAACTCCTTCCAAATATGTTAGACCCACATTCTCTGGTAATATACGAAGCTGCTCATCATTAAATGGGCACATGGTACTTGGCACTTCCACCAATTCCGGAGCTTAGTCAGGTATTGGTCCATGCCAGTCAACGCCATAATATTCATAATGCTCCTAAAATCAAATTAAATTTTCATGATAAAAATAACTGTTTTCAAGAAATTAATAAATTTTATGATTATCTTGAAAATTAGTATTATCTTGTATCATCATTGGTATTTCTACTACTGTAACAAGTATCAGTTGGTGTGTACAGTACCTCCATTGGTTCAACAATATTATGTGCTTGAACTCTTCTTGCCAGCTGCAATCCAGTTACCCAGAGCTGAAATGGGGTTCTGTTTTTCTCTGTTCGAATTGGATGATGGATCCATGCATCTCTCCAGTTCTTTATATGCTGATTAATAATAGGCAGGAAAATATAATGCAAACACCATATGTGTGTTTCGTCATCTCTGTTCAAAAATCCTTGTTCTTCCATTGAAGTGAACAGTCATAAAACAAACTGAGACAACCATCAAACACATCTCGCCAAAGTCTCTCAATCCGCTGATTATGAGTGCTTTTACCTAGAACATTGATTGCTTGTTTGGTATTGTACAGATAAGTTAGGTAACATACTATATGTACCAAGTCACAAGTTTCACTACATACTCTACGAAAAGTAAAATAAATTTGACTTGTGTAACTTTGCAAGTAGCATTGTGTCATAATGCACCCTATACTTCGTCACATTACCCTGTATAGCGCCAGATGATTTAATCTATAAAGGGCAACTATATTGACTGAATAAAATTAACACAAACCTGTAATCATGCTTCCTCGTCCAGGCCCACGTTGTTGGTGCGACAGCATGTACGCAGCAACATCTACGTTTTCCCCACCTTTATCTGAACGTACCCTTGACGGAAGTCCGAATTCTGCAACACTTTCAAGAAACAATTGCAGAACAGTTTCTGCCCTGTTGTTGTCGGATGCTTTCAAGAATATAGGCATTCTGGAATAGCCATCTATTCCTCCATGTACCACAATTCTCCAACTAAAACAAGAAGGAAACCTCTTTTAATAGAATGATAGGGACTGTTGTTAAAATAGAAGTTAGACAAACTTATTTAACGGGGGTGAAAGGTCATTAATATTAAGTAAAATAGGGCATAAAACAAACATTTAGTTTACAATTTTCCCTTGTAAATCATGGATATTTATACAACCCAAAGCCAAACCAAGCGGTAAATTACAGAGTGGGGATTAAAAATGTCCAATAAGGTATCAGTGGTATACAATTTTTATTTTGCTGCAGTTAATTAATTGGCAAATTTTAGGGTGGCATGACCTTGCTCCAATTGTAGGCAACCAAAATCATACCTAATAAGTTTGTGGTTCCCATCAATGTGCCACAGGGAGCGAGGATATTTCACGTTGTATGAACGCCGTTTTATAGCTTTTTGCCAACGTTGCATTAGACCAATTGGATCTGTTCTCAGCAGTGAACATCTTATCCGGTCACGTTGCACACGCCATCCCTTGCTTTGCAGGTATCCTTTCATCATCCGTATACCAAAATTGGGATGATCACTTGATGTTTGGCGAACAAGTTCATCTAACTGATCATCACTAATATCACTAAATGTACCTTTAGATATGAAAACAAAGCCATTCTATACACATAGTTATCATTTGTATGTATAGGTTATAAATCAAGAACAAGGAATATAAGTCAAATATATGACCTATATCCTAAGTTTGAGGTTTATAACAGACTTATTTAATAAGTTTAATCTAATTATTTATTCACATGTTCTACGGTGTATCCTGCAGTAATGTACATCGAAGAAAACTGACTCACCAGTAAATAAATACAGTTAAAGTGCTTATGAAACGAAATTTTTGCCTCGATTTTTATTGTCTTATTAAAATGTACTGCTTAAATGATGACGAATGACATTTACAGTTTGTTCGTATCTCATCTCATTCCCAAGTTATCGCACTTTCTATATTTTGAGTTGTGACGTCACTAGTTTGACTCAAAATAATGGCAGTAACAAGAAAATCTGATATCTTGATGATCATTTAATAAAATTCAATGAAACTTGGCACACTTAGTGGGTGCAACGAAGTGAACAATTTGGCTTGTTTATATGGTTGTTATGGCAACACACTCATCCCCAGTCCCTTCCCTTCCAATTTCTATATGATCCATTTCCAACGAAATAAATAGTAATTTCTGCAATTGTCGCTTATTACTATAATACGTGTAGGTATTGTGATCACTTTAAACCGTCATAACATGCAAATATCCTCTGCAAGAGGTCTACAGGAGGAAATTTGTAAAAAGGAAGAGAACAGACTGGGGGACTAGTGTGTTGCCATGGCAACCACATGACCTGCCAAAAATATTCATATGGGTGCACCCACTAAGTGTGCCGAGTTTCATTGAATTTTATTAAATACTCACTAAGATATCAGACTTTCTTGTTATTGCCATTATCTCAAGTCAAACTAGTGACGTCACAACTCAAAATTTAGAAAGTGCGATAACTTGAGAACGAGATGAGATATGAAGAAACTGTAAACGTCATTCTTCATCACTCTAGCAGTACTTTTTAGCAAAACAATAAAAAATGAGGTGAAAATTTCGTTTCATAAGCACTTTAATTATAAAACGAAATTTTTGCCTCATTTTTTATTATTTTATGGAAAGGGACTGCTCAAATGATGAAGAATGATGTTTACAGTATATCTCATCTCATTCCCAAGTTATCACACTTTCTAAATTTTGAGTTGTGACGTCACAAGTATGACTTGAGATAGTGGCAATAACAAGAAAGTCTGATATCTTTGCGACTATTTAATAAATTCAATGAAACTTGGCATACACACTTAGTGGGTGCAACTAAGTCAAATAATTTGGCTTGTTTATATGGTTGTTGTGGAAACACACTCGTCCCCAGTCCCTTCTCTTCCAATTTCTATATGATCCATTTCCAGCGAAATAAATAGCAATTCCTGACATTTTCACTTATTAATATAATAGGTGTAGGTATTGGGATCAGTTTAAACCATTATAACATGCAAACATCCTCTGCATGAGGTATACAGGAGGAAGTTTGTGAAAGAAAGAGAAGAGACTGGGGACTACTGTGTTGCCATGACAACCACATTACCTGCCAAAAATAGGGTGCACCCACTAAGTGTATTAGGGAGTGGTCATCATTTAAGGGGAGGGAGGGGTTGGTAAATAGGGAAAATAAGGATTGAAAACTTTTTTGACCCCCCTCCAGACTGAAGGCAAACTTTTTGTGCCTCCCCCCTCATAAAAGTAGAAATGTTTCTAACCCCCCCCAATTAAAAAAATTAGTAGCAATGAAACAGGTGCATGTGTGTTGCACGTAAAGTTAGATATTAGGACAACCTGTTTAACATAGCTCATGTTTTAATATATATATTTATGTGTTACTACTTTGCAATGCAACATTTGTCCTACCATAAAATATGTGAAATGATTTGAACACAGGGCTTTTTTAAGAACTTGTCTGGGGGTGGGCATATACAAAAAGGGACCATACTATACTGAATGTGGAGAAATGACAGATGGTTGTTGGTGACAAAAAGTTTGGGGGTATTCTCCCCCAGAAAAGTTTTTGTATTTTTCCACCCCTAGGACTGAAATGTGAGCATTTTCTGAAACAGATTTTTGGATATACTGTTCAGCATTAAATTGTGCTTTGATAGACTGAATCTGATCAGTTAAGCATAGACAGATTTTGTGGGGGGGTGGGGGGTGCTACCCCCCTAATATTAGCTATAACCCCCCCCCCCCAACAAAATGTCCACCTCTCCAAAAAAATTTTCAACCCCCCCCCCAATATTTGGAATAATAAAAAATAATTAAATAATCCACTAGTGTTGATGATACAAAATAAACGTAGGAGTACACTCAAATAGAAAGCAATATTATTGGAGCAATTGTAAAGTTTTGAAACTCTGTTATCTCCCCTGAATAGAGTTTGCAGTGCCTTGTCATGCAAATAGCTTGCTTGCTGCAAGAAACATTTGGAATTTTTACGAACATTATTTTTAGTTTTTAATTCTTTTAGGAAATAGTCTTGCCTAGATTTAATCTTATGCCCCAAATATTATTTACATCGGAGTTGCATCATAAATTGTACTCGGATTCAAATGACACAATGTCAATGACTTTTTAAAGTGAAAGCATATTGTGTATTGGTCTATTGGGTTTACACTTTTACAGGTTCATTTAACTTTAACTCTTTCAAGTCTCAACAGACAATCGGACAGGCCAAATCCATTGATATGACAACGTCAAAAAACGTTTTTTCGAAGCTAGAAATCATGTTTTTTTCCAGGGATACTTTGTCTTCTGCTCTCTAGACTCCCCCTCGCGGCACTAGTGCTCCACCCCTAGAATATAGACCTTACTGGGGTTTGGTGACACTTTGTGTTGCTTCAATCACCTGCTCACGGCTCACCTCCCTAAAATTTCTGGCACCACCCCAGTAAAAAATATGAAAATGCGTCAATGCAGTTAAGTGTGGTATGTTTATGTAAATACCACAACTGGGTTACTCAGGGGGTTGAAAGCTTGTTAAACTTAGTGGGCCTGACTCCCGCAAGGTGTTACCATGGTTGGCGCCAAGCAGGGAAATTTTGAAAATTCTGAGTCTCCAGATCGTTGGAAATGGCGTTTTCAGAGTCGTCTTTTTTAGACATGGTATTTAAGTTCAAACACTTTTTTGACCCCCCCCCCCTTTCTCTGTGTTAAAAATTTTTTGACCCCCCTATTTATAAGGGTAACACTTTGTTTGCCCCACCCTCCCATAAATAATGACCACTCCCTCGAAGTTTCATTAAATATTATTAAATACCCACTAAGATATAAGACTTTTTTGTTATCGCCATTATCTCGGGTCATACTTGTGATATTTAACAAATATAAAACGTTTTCCGTGTTGATATACAGTTATATCAACACGAGTGGAATTGGGAAAACGAGAAATTGTGTGGAAACACGACGCCCGAAGGGCGGAGTGTTTTCATACAATTTCGAGTTTTCCAAACTTCCACGAGTGTTGATATAACTATATATCAATACGGAAAAAATGTTTTATATTTTTTTTATAATATAGCCCGAAGGATAAGAAAAATTTCCGTGTTTACAAGCGGCGGAAAATTTCCCGTGTTGACATTGAGTTATATCAACACGGCTCTTAGCCAATCAGCGTTCAGAATTTACAAATGCTATATTATAAATAAATATAGAAACTGCGACAACTTGAGAATAAGATGAGATATGAAGAAACTGTAAAGGTCATTCTTCATCATTCCAGCAATACTTTTTAGAAAAACAATAAAAAATGAGGTAAAAATTTCGTTCCATAAGCACTTTAATTTAAAATATCTTCAAAATATAGAGCACGGGGTTTACAGATTAATACCTTTGTGTGCATGGGATTGCAATTGTGAGGGTGGGCCATATGATGACGGATTTGGTATTCTATTTTTTACCCTGCCATGTTTGTCAGGCCCTGACACCCTGACACCTCTAATTAGGGCCTGAATTTCAGGTTATGACCCCTTATGACCTTCGGCAATATCACATGCAATATGGCGTCGATGCAACGCGATAAAAAAAGTTAAAAATTGATCCAAATGCGCTTTGTTCACATGTCAGCGATTCGCTTTATGAAGCAAATTGTTTAAAAAACAAAATTGCTGAAATCTCGTCCATAAATGTGGGAATGACAGCTGACAGTCAGTTGGTTGAAGTCTTTTTGATTTGCCGGTTTGGGCTTTTATATAAAATAGTACAGGAGGTGGTCTCTATGCTATCGTCTGCGAGGTTTTTGCCTGAAAGCGTGGTTATTTCGAAGGTCGCTCGCATTCTCGGGATATGTGAACCAGGTGTCAAGAATGTAATTCATTTGTTTGAAAAAGCAGAGAGTTTTAACGGCAGTATTAATACCAGTAAAAACGAAGAATTAAATGTCATCTTAACACCGTAAACTTCAATCTGCTTCGAATGTCAACGTACAGCAGTTAGTTGTAAACCATGCCCCAACAGAAGCTCGGATTTACACTCTGAAAGGTTTTGTTAACGGAGAAAAATGGTCCCTTCGCTGTAATGGATGCAAGTCTACATACAATTACAGCAAGTATGGTTCACGCAATGGCTGGAAAATGTACCCAAATCACTATAAAATCAGAGAACTCTAGTCGAATCGTCAGATTGTTGTTTTTTGGAGCGTGACGTTTTCAATTGGATGACTTCGTTGAGGTAAGTTCATTATTTATTGCTGCCGAAGGCAGCGTTTATACTCACAGTAGGAAAAACTTCACTAACATCTCATGTATGGCCGGATCGTGGATTGATTCAAAATTCAGGCGATAAAGTTACAAAACTAGGAGTTGGCTTTTATATGCTCTTCGAATAATTCCGTTTTCATTCGTGTATTAACCACAACTTGTTGGTCTCATGGGTGCCAAAATCGACATATACGTAAACCGGTAACCATAAACATGCTACTGCGTGATAGTGATTTCGAAGGAACTTTGTCACATATATTTTAAAAAGTGGGATAAATATAAATGAATCAAAATTTGTTTTTGCAACCCCAAATAGGTTATCATGACAGCAGCAAAAACCCCATCATGACAGCAGCAAAAATTGCACCTGAAATAGCAGCAAAATTGCAAGCGTAAACGGGCCTTAAGCCAAGGTTTACAGTTTAAGGTTTGCAAAGGACAACATTTATTGCATTGGCTCATGTATACATACATACACATGGTTCAGTTCAAATTACAATACAGTTCAGTACAGTACAATACTGTTCAATCTTTATTAGCATATATTAAATGGTGTTGCCATACAAACATAATATTTATATGCTAGACTGTCTAGACAGCATATGTTCAATAAAAATAAACAATAAAAATATCAATATAGTACAAGTATGCGACTATAAAAATATATAATTGAATTACAGACTAGCATGTACTTTTAAGCTGCTAAATTGCTAATATATTTCTGAGCATATAGTATATGCTATTAGATAAGCAGGTATAAAAGGTTGTTGGTACCCTGGCTTCGCCTAACAGAAAGGATGTAATCAAATCCTGATTGAGTATAAAGTGGTGTCGGAGGCTGGGGGGGGGGGGCACTTTTTTAGTTGGGTGGCCATTTTGTCTTTGGAGTTTCGACCCCTTAATTTTTAACAATGGTCAATAATAAACCTCAAAGTTAATTGATTTTATTTCAGTTATGCGTGTAGACAAAACAATTTGAGATATTTTATGACGTTTTGTAACCTTTAGAACTCTGTAAATCTCCTTAAATATCCTTCTAAAGTACAGGAAATGGCATTTCAGTGACTCTAGTTTTAATATTTCAGAGACTCTAGTTTTAAAATGTTTATGTCGCCCGCCTTTGGCAGGCGCTAAGCCCCCCCCCCCCACTTTTAGACCTGCTCCGACACCCCTGTGAGTATATATTGATCAGTATTGGTATTATTTTAAGCTGAAGACTGACCTCATATGCTAATATTTTTATCCAAGTGTAAATAAGTATAGGTTATTTTGAAGCAACAAGGGGATATGTGATTTATTTACCGAGGCATGCAGTGCCTCTGCCATCCAGAGGGGGAGGAGAGAAAAAATTTCTGCCGTCCAGAGGGGGAGGGGAGAAAAAATTGTTTCTGACAATAGTAAATGTATGAGGACATCCGAAGGGGGTAGGATAGCCTGCGAACAGGCTCTCAAGCTGAATTGAGAGTCTGCATCGATGACTAATGAATTTGAATATCTGCGTCTCAAATCGTGACGCGAAATTCTCATTGGTCAGATGCTATAATTTATATTATTCCGCTGAGCTCTATATATGTCAACTGCTAGCACTATGCATAAAAAAACACATTAATTAACTGATCAAATTGGTCTTGGCCATTTTATCTCAAAGCACAAAATGTTCTGTTTTGAGAAAACAGTATTTAAAACATTTAAACTTTTGCTTCAATATCTTATATTTCGAAAAACAGTATAAACTGTACGGTCTAAATTTAGTTTGCATGGTCTAAATTTAGTTTGCACGAAAGTTGTAAACAACACCATATAAGGATAGAGATTCCATATTTGGAAAAACGATCGTTATGGGGCAGATATTCAAATTCATTAGTCATCGATGCAGGCTCTCAATTCAGCTTGAGAGCCTGTTCGCAGGCTAGGGGTAGGGGGCTTAACTTCCTATTTCCTCTGTGGGGGTGGAATGACCCAGTGATAGACTAGCTAACTACAATATATTTAAACATTACTCACTTTTCTTATTTAGGTTGAAACTTTAATGTGGACAAGAATGAAACACAAGGTCTTTGGAGGTTCAAATAGCAAGAGTAGTAATATACTGGCCAGGACCAGTAGTACCCCCTAGTAAGAGCACCCCTAGAACTGGCTAGAAGTTTCAAGATACTTACCCTGGATTCCAGAGCCTTCGACAGTAAATAATAAATTGAAATGTCGTGAAGGCTCTGGTTCAACGGGGCGATTCTTTGATTAAACCGCGCCAATCACAAAACAGAGCCTTCAAGAGCCCGTTGAACCAGAGCCTTCGCGACATTTCAATTTATTATTTAGTGTCGAAGGCTCTGGAATCCAGGGTACAAGATACTGAACAGCAGAGCAAATTAGTCATAGCCAGTGGGGCAACAAAGTTATTAGAATAGTTTAGATTTTAAAATTATTTATTGTAATTAATTATTATTCTTTGAAAAAGTTAAATTAAATTACTTCAGCTGTGTACTGTGTTATAAATGTGGGATAATTTTGCAAAGAAAAATGCATGTGAAATGACAAAGAGAAATGCACAAAAAATACTGAATTTTAAGGGTGCCTGAAGTACAGGGTGTACCTTGTGTGTGGGGTAGGGGGTTGTGCAACCCCATTTTCTGCTAAGATTGTTGATAAAATCAGAAAAAGGAATTCTGATCAGTAAAATATGGGAGTGGTCATTGGTAAAATTGTTATATAGTTTTCCTCAAATATTGTGATTCATCACAGTGACCTAGTAGGCCTGTAGAGAATATTGAAAATTGATTTTTTAAATGTTCTTACTTGGAATAGACCTAATTTATAAAAAGGTTGACGTCAGCAGGCTTGTGACGTAGTTTGCGGAGGAATGGGAAATCCCGAAATCTCAGAGTTGTTTACTTGTTTTGAGTTTTTAAAAGCCAAAAGAAACCAGTATTATGGTATCATATTCGTCGTAGTTTAAATTTTATCTGTTTTTATTGTTGCAACATACACGGGTAAAAATTGATCAGGTTGTTCGGCGTTGTTCAAACAGGAGTGAACAATGTTGTGCTGCACCCCGTGAACAATATTGTTAACAAGTTGTTCAACCATCAGTACTGTTGCAAGTTGTTAACATGATTGTCAACAAGTTGCAACAATGTTGATGGTTCAACAACTTGTTAACAATATTGTTCACGGGGTGCGGCACAACATTGTTCGCTCCTGTTTTGAACAACTTGCATCAACATGATGATTTTTACGTGTGTATATAAGTGAAGTTAGACATAAGTCTATTATTTTTATCGATATAGTTGAAGTGAACATACATAACAAGTAGCTTTTGTCAATCGTGTATAACACTTCGGGTCTGGGTCCGACAATCTTTAATTTTCTATCAAGGTTTTGTCTTACTGTATAACATGATAATTTAGAATGATTTTAGATATTTTGAAAATGTACATTACTTGGAAATGTATTGCATATCCCAACTATAAAGCTGCTCTGAAGCAAACTTTATAGGTTTTAAAATGATCTAAAAGTTTACACAGAAGTACAGAACCCTATAGTATTTGTAAACAGCTCCGCTTTCGTTTCTGAAGATTTAATTTTTAAATCTCTACACTTCAGACGAAATTTTAAGTTATTTTTGGTAGCTTTTTCAATATCCTTGCCAATTTTGACCCGGGTATATTATATGTCCTTTTCTGTCAATGCCTCAATGATATTGATAAAATACTTATCAGTCTTTAATACGAGTCATTGACATTGTGTACAAGAAGTACTCGGAGTTTAAATTCACTTATGTGCCTCTTTGCACGACCACTAAGCCTGTGTATTGCTGTCTACAGCTTGATTGGGGCCATTCTGATGATTAGACTGATGAATTTGAGAAAGAAAAAAGAAAAATTAAACTATTTAGCAACAAAATATGTAAACAAACCGAGAGAACAATTTGCTAAATGTTGACAGTAAAATAATGTACAATCTAATATAAAAACAGATAACATTTAAACTACGACGAATATGAAAATTCATTTGGCCTATATAGAAAAATTTGCTTCAAACTTACCATAATACTGGTTTCTTTTGGCTTTTAAAAACTCAAAACAAGTAAACAACTCTGAGATTTCGGGATTTCCTCCGCAAACTACGTCACAAGCCTGGTGACGTCAACCTTTTTATAAAGGTCTATTGAAAGGGAGGGATTTTAAAAGTAGGGCAATGAGTGGGCACTGGGCATGCCCTAATATCTTTGATAAAAATGAGGTGTCAAGCCCCTCATTGAAATTTTATCAAAACACTATCAGAGAAGACAGTAACTACAATGCCATCTGTGCTCCACATTAGTTGAAATGTGTTCTTCCTACAAATGACATGCACATTGTATTCCCCACAAAAGCACCATGTATAAAGTTAGTAAATAACACAAAATACTGATACAATACATGTATGGTTTCATATTGCTTGCAGGAAATTAAAAATTTCCAAAACACTATCAAGATACAAAGAGCTCTAATATACTATACCATGAAAAATTGTAACCATTTATATAACATATCAGCCATATTTAAGGAGTGTCAGGGCTGTCAGGAGTGCCAGGGATGTCAGGAGTGTCAGGGCTGTCAGGAGTGTCAGGAGTGTCAGGGTTGTCAGGACTGTCAGGGTTGTCAGGACTGTCAGTGATGTCAGGAGTGTCAGGGTTGTCAGGACTGTCAGGGATGTCAGGAGTGTCAGGGTTGTCAGGGATGTCAGGAGTGTCAGGGTTGTCAGGGTTGTCAGTGATGTCAGGAGTGTCAGGGTTGTCAGGACTGTCAGTGATGTCAGGGATGTCAGGGTTGTCAGGACTGTCAGGGTTGTCAGTGATGTCAGGGTTGTCAGGGATGTCAGGATGTCAGGGTTGTCAGGAGTGTCAG